CCCGGTGACCTGAGAAACGGTCTTGTGAACTTATCAGATCAAACCAAGTCTGAGCGGATCAAGTCCCCACCCTCAGCTCTTTCCTTCGAGTCTATTTCTGCCCAGAGAGGGTTCCCGCAGGAGAGGCCTTCAGAACGTGGGGGGAGGGGGCAGAGGGAGCGTCTGCCTTCAGGGAGGATGGGGGCATGGGGCCCGGCGCAGCCAAGACAGGGTCACCCCCACCCCAAGGGAGGCCTGGAGACGCCCCAGGTCCCATGGCAACTTCCCAGTCTCTTGTGTCAGAAACAACTTCCTCTAACAACAGGATCTTGTTCTCTAAACAGCCATGAAATAAATATATAAACATATGCCCTCAACGTCTGACGCATGTGGACGGAAAAGGAGCCACAGGAACCCGACAAGCTCAGGGGCAGCCTGCGTGGCGGCCTAGACCAGTGATGGCGAACCTTTTGAGCTCGGCGTGTCAGCATTTTGAAAAACCCTAACTTAACTCTGGTGCCGTGTCACATACAGACATTTTTTGATATTTGCAACCATAGTAAAACAAAGATTTATATTTTTGATATTTATTTTATATATTTAAATGCCATTTAACAAAGAAAAATAAATCAACCCAAAAAATGAGTTCGCGTGTCACCTCTGACACGCGTGTCCTAGGTTCGCCATCACTGGCCTGAACACTCAGAGACGGAAGGTAACCAGGTAGGATGGTCTGAACGTGAAAGTTCCTAAAAGTGAGTCACGTCCTGGGCCCATAGCTTTCTTGACAAAGGTCAGTCTTTACCTTAAGTGAGCCCATCTATTGTCTTTTGGCCTCTAAGATAACATACCGTGTGTGTGTGTGTGTGTGTGTGTGTGTGTGTGTGTGTGTGTTAATCCTCGCCTGAGGATATTTTTCCATTGATTTTTTAGGGAGCGTGGAAGAGAGAGGGAAAGACAGAGAGAAACATTGATGTGAGAGAAACACATCGATTGGTTGCCTCCTGCACGCGCCCCGACCGGGGTCCAGGGAGGAGCCTGCAACTGAGGTGCCTGGAGTCGAACCCGGGACCCTTTGCTCCGCAGGCTGATGCTCTATCCACTGAGCCAAACCGACTCGGGCTAAGTGAGCTCCTTTTCTAGCCCCCTCAGGGTGCACTCACCCACCAGGGCCGAGGCCCGAGACCCCCTGGGTAACCCGGGCCCTGAGTACCATCTCCACGTGCCGTACATGCCGGTGATCCACTCCCCTGCGCCCGCCCATGCTAAGAAGCACGTGTCTCTGCCGAAACCGGTTTGGCTCAGTGGATAGAGCATCAGGGAAAGACAGAGAGAAACATTGATGTGAGAGAAACACATCGATTGGTTGCCTCCTGCACGCGCCCCGACCGGGGTCCAGGGAGGAGCCTGCAATCGAGGTGCCTGGAGTCGAACCCGGGACCCTTTGCTCCAGAGGCTGATGCTCTATCCACTGAGCCAAACCGACTCGGGCTAAGTGAGCTCCTTTTCTAGCCCCCTCAGGGTGCACTCACCCACCAGGGCCGAGGCCCGAGACCCCCTGGGTAACCCGGGCCCTGAGTACCATCTCCATGTGCCGTACATGCCGGTGATCCACTCCCCTGCGCCCGCCCATGCTAAGAAGCACGTGTCTCTGCCGAAACCGGTTTGGCTCAGTGGATAGAGCATCGGCCTGCGGATTGAAAGGTCCTGGGTTCGATTCCTGTCAAGGGCATGTACCTGGGTTGCGGGCACATCCCCAGTGGGAGATGTGCAGGAGGCAGCTGGTCGATGTTTCTCTCTCATCGATGTTTCTAACTCTCTATCTCTCTCCCTTCCTCTCTGTAAAAAATCAATAAAATATATTAAAAAAAAAAAAAGAAGCACGTGTCTCCCCGTTTTGCTTTTTGCCCAACTCCAGAGCTTTCCCTTCTTTGCTTTCTCCCACCCCCTTCATCTACCACCCGTGGGGCTCACATAACCCTCCTTACGTCACCCGCGTGGACTGTAAGGTGTAAACATAAGCTGCAAAGCTGCCACTCTCAGGGGCATTCTTTCAGGTTGTTGAGATGTTGCTTCCAAGCCATTGTGATCATTTTTGGCTCAAACTCATAGAAATTCTCTACAGCTTTGGATGCTTCTTACAGCGACACACCACACAAGGAGAGACACGCAAATACACAAAAGAAATGCCGAGCAGCCCTGGCCGGGTGGCTCAGTTGGTTGGAGCGTCCTCGTGTGCACCGAAAGGTCCCGGGTTCGACTCCCAGGCAGGGCACATCGCTAGGCTGTTGGCTCGATCCCCTATCCGGGGCTCGAATGGGAGGCAACCGACCCATGTTTCTCTCTCTTTCCCACTTCCTCTCTCTCTCTCTCAAATAAATAAATAAATTGCTGGACAAACAATTCCAAAGTTGGCGTGAGAGCCCTTTCCTCTTGCTAAACCTGCTTTCTTAAAATGTACATTCTAAGAATTTATATTCTTTCTGTGGTTATTTTTAACAAACATATACGTAGCGTGTTCTGTGAACCAGGCACCGCTGTGGGTTTTAAACCTCTTCACCCATTTTTTAAAAAATTTTTTAAATATATATTTTATTGATTTTTTTTACAGAGAGAAAAGGAGAGGGATAGAGAGTTAGAAACATCGATGAGAGAGAAACACCGATCAGCTGCCTCCTGCACCCTCCCCACTGGGTATGTGCCCGCAACCAAGGTACATGCGCTTGGCCGGAATCGAACCTGGGACCCTTCAGTCCGCAGGCCGACGCTCTATCCATTGAGCCAAACCGGTTAGGGCTCTTCACCCATTTTTTAAAATCGGTTTTATATTTACAATATGACTCTTTTGATCACTTTTTAAAATTGATTTTAGACAGAGAGGAAGGGAGAGGGGGAGAGAGAGAAACATCAATGTGAGAGAGGAACATCCGTCGGTTGCCTGCAGCCTGGGCCTGGCCCTGACCGGGAATCGAACCTGAGACCTTCCGGTGCACCGGACAACGCTCCAACCAACTGAGCCAGACGGGCCAGGGCACATTTTTCACTCATTTAATGCTCGGGGCAAAATGTACACGTTACAGGTGAGGAAGTTGAGGTTCAGGGGGACCTGGAATCAGAACCTCATCGTCCTGGCTCCCGAGTCCATGTTCTCAGCCTCCGTGCTGTGCTGGGAGGGAGCTGGAGAACCACTACGGTCCACATCTTCCCATTTCAAAGTTGGACAACTGAGGCCCACAGAGGAGAGAGTGTGTCCCTGCACGGGGACCAGGCCCGGGGCAGGTCTGCCTCCGGCCGGCCTGTAGTGTGTGGGTTCTTGACTTCGTACAGGAGATGTTTCACAACGTGAGTCCGGGTGACTGTGAGAGTTATGTTTATTAAAGCAGGGACAGCGACACAAGGCTGCTGTCAGCTCACTGGGAAGTCAGAGAAAAGGGGGCCTTGGGGACAGGATAGGGGGTGAGCTGCCGCCGCCCACTGCTCTCCTGGTTGCCAGTCTCGTGGGGACCTTAGAGTTTTTAGGATTAAGTAAAAGTTCATGCCCGCGAAGGGGCGTGGGCGTGCTCTAGAGCGAGCCACTGCTGGCATCCTTTATCTTGGGGGTTTTATCTCCCTTCTGCAGGTGAGAATCTTAGGGGAGGGTTTCGGCAGAATATTCATCAGTTTTCTAGGTGTGTGTGTGTGTTTTTTTAAAATATATTTTTATTGCTTTCAGAGAGGAAAGGAGAGGGAGAGATAGAAACATCAATGATGAGAGAGAATCATGGATCAGCTGCCTCCTGCACGCCCCACACTGGGGATCGAGCCAGCAACCCTGGCCTGTGCCCCGCCCGGGAATCGAACCATGACCTCCAGGTTCATAGGTCGACGCTCAACCACTGAGCCCCGCCGGCCGGGCTCCAGGTGTGTTTTTAATATGCGGATGCATCCAAATGAGCGTAGAGTGGAGTTTGGGATTATTCCTTGGTCTGCTTTGCTGTTTTAATTTTATCTTGGGTCTGTCTGGCTCTAATGGTTTTTGAAAAAAATATATTTTTATTGATTTCAGAGAGGAAGGGAGAGGGAGAGAGAGAGATAGAAGCATCAATGATGGGAGAGAATCATTGATGGGCTGCCTTCTGCACCCGCCAGGGATCGAGCCCACAACCCGGGCACGTGCCCTTGACCGGAATCGAACCAGGGACCCTTGAGTCCCCAGGCCAATGCTCTATCCAATGAGCCAAACCGGCTCGGGCTAGTGGGGCTCTAGTGGGAGCTGTAGCTCCCCGGACTTCATCTGTCCTTGGGTTTGGCCGGCACCAATGGCAGTAACTGGGTCTCTGTTCTCTCGCTCCCCGACCAGGGGGGTTAAGCTCCGTGCTCTCTGGTTGGGGAGGAGAGATATAACCTGTTTGCTCTCAGGTCCTTGGTGAGGGGGGAGAAGTCTCGCGATTCCCTAGCTGGCTGTACTTTGTTCAAATTGTTTGGCCTGCTGTAGTTATCCGTCTCGGTTTCCCATTCTGCTTGCCCAGGAATTTTCCCAGCTTCTTGCTATCCTGCCAATCGGGCTTGTGTGTGTTCCGTCTGCCCCTGGTGCCTCAGGCTCTGTGGTCGTGGCTGTGGTCTTTCTGTGGAGGACTCGGCCCCGAGCTGTCTCCCCCGGGACACGAGAGGCAGGAGCAATTACTGGTCAGTCCTCAGGGCTCAGCCGGGCAGACCGGAGGGCTGGGCACACCCTTGGAGGCTGGGAGGGGGCGGCAGGCTGTGGGTGCTGGGGGAGGAAGGCCTCCCGGGGCCCTGTGGGGACAGCAAGACCCCCCGGCCTCCAAGGTCACACCACACGCAGGTCTGGCTTCCGGGAGGCTGGTGACACTGAGACTGCGGGTGGGGACCTGGCCAGCCTTCCACCCACCACGCCATCCTGACCTCATCTGCTGCCCAGTCATTAGGGATGTGTGAGTCATGGGAAGAACACAGGACAAACACACCTCGGGAGGAGGGAAAGGCCACTCCTGCTTCCCCGGGGAGGGAGGTGTGCAGGCCGGGAGGTGGCAGTGCCAGCAGCCGGGCAAACAGGACGAACTTCCAGGGACCCTCGAGGTGCCGGACGCTCAGGAGAGACCCCAGACGGCCAGGGTCCCGGCTGAGGGCCCGGATCCTGCTCCCAGGCGGCATTTGGCCAAATCGGGGGCCCTCTTGCAAGAGACGGTAAGGATGGAGGGGAGAGGGATGGAGGGGAGAGGGATGGAGGAAGGTGGTGGGGGTGGGGGGGGTGGTTCACAATCTTGGCCCAGGAGTCTCCGTCTTTTCAGAATCTGGGATCAGAACCTGAGTGTGAGGAATGGGCTCTTAATCACCATCGCGTTGGAATCCACATCAGAACCCCAGGCTCTGGGACGGCCCCAGGCTGCCCAAAAGATCCAAATATATCACCACCCTCAGGTGTCCAGAACTCTTGGACCTGCACCTCCCAGGAAATCCACCAGATGGTCGCGTGGCCCAGGAACAAGCCCTTGAACCTGACGATTCCATTTCTTAGGCAAGGCCCTCGGACTCCTCTTCCCGTGTAACATCCGCACAGAGGGGCGCGCACGCAGCGAGGGGTGTCTCAGGAGCCGAGCACTCAGGTAACTGGCACCCACAGGGGGCTGAGGAACAGCCCGGGCTCAGGCCCAGCGTCCCCGGGGCCCCACCCCCGTCACTCCCCACCCCCCCATGGCGCCCTCTGGCCTGGTTTTAACTTTCTGTGAATGGGATCATCCAGTAGATTCTCCTGGGTGCCTGGCTCTCTCTCCTCACACGGAGCCCACCCAGGTCATGCTCTGGTCCTAGAACCTTCCACGGCCTGACTAGCGCGTGGTGTGTTTCTCCATCCTCCCGTGGGCGGGTATTTGCACCCCGTGCGTGTCTGTTCAGTCTCCATTGTGCCCCACGGTTTCCCCGAGCAGCGGTTCCAGCCAGACCGGCTGATGCACAAACACACGGGTGACCCTGTAGCTTCCCCGTTGCCTCCGTTTCCCTCTTTATTATGATTATCATTATTATTTTTTAAAAATATATTCTTATTATTTCAGAGAGGAAGGGAGAGGGAGAGAGAGACAGAAACATCAATGATGAGAGAGAATCATTGATCGGCTGCCTCCTGCACACCCGCCTATTGGGGATCGTGCCCTGGACCGGAATCGAACCCGGAACCCTTCAGTCCGCAGGCTGACGCTCTAGCCCAGTGATGGCGAACCTTTTGAGCTCGGCGTGTCAGCATTTTGAAAAACCCTAACTTAACTCTGGTGCGGTGTCACATATAGAAATTTTTTGATATTTGCAACCATAGTAAAACAAAGACTTATATTTTTGATATTTATTTTATATATTTAAATGCCATTTAACAAAGAAAAATCAACCAAAAAAATGAGTTCGCGTGTCACCTCTGACACGCGTGTCATAGGCTCGCCATCACTGGTCTCTAGCCACTGAGCCAAACCAGCTAGGGCTTAAAAAATATTTTTATTGATTTCAAAGAGGAAGGGAGAGGAAGAGGGAGATAGAAACATCAGTGATGAGAGAGAATCATTGATCCGCTGCCTTCTGCACTCCCCCTACTGGGGGGTCAAGCCTGCAACCCGGGCATCGAACCAGGAATCTATTCCTGACCGGGAATCGAACCCTGACCTCCTGGCTCAAACACTGAGCCACGCCGGCCCGGCCGGGCCCTCTTTATTATTGTCTCCGTCAAATATCAACGAAGCACACGCTGTGTGCTTGGTGCTGTTCGGGATGCCGGACACGGCAGGAAAGAGCCAACACTCCGGAAAATGGGGATGATGATAGTAATCCTGACATTCTGGGAAATGGAGATAATAACAACTTATTTCATAGGGTTACGCCTCCTCTATTATGTGAGTGATTATAAAAATTATTATGGTAATTATGTTTTATATGTAGAGAGAGACATACAAGCAGACTGCATTATATAAAATAATGATGCTGCTCATGGATTATCACTGAATGTCCTTTAGTCCGAGGCGGACTAATAAGCGTGACACGCCCAGAGCGTGGGCTGATTCTGAAGCCGTTATGGAGACAGGAGGGTATGTGTGTGCAGATAGGGAAACAGACCGAAGACACATGAAGTGGACGAGATTAAGCGATGACACAGTGGGTGCTGAATGTTCCCATTTCTGTGTAATATATTAAAAAGGGAATAACATACACAGACGGACTGAGTTGCTTACAGGCAGAGAACTTTCCGGATTTTACTCGGTGAGAGCTGGGGAGGGCGGGGGGGTCTCG